AACTTTTACATGCGAATTTCCAAAGCTTGCCGAGGATCTGAAATCAAATTTGGTAGATTATGTCTTAGTGAGACTTACTTCTCCCAGTTTTGGACAAAAAACTCAACAAACCATTATACTCCCACACTAACACTTTTAGCTACACCTCACTGATCGTTGTCCTCAGCGGGTTCGCAACTAACGATGCAAACAGTCTCGCATTTGCTCACTGTTTAGTTTACCAATGATGTTTGATTGGTAACGCTTAGCTCGCCCACTTCTCTTATCGTTTGTCGCAGCATGATTTATCTGATCCAATTTATTTTGTTTTTCTACTTAGACGCATTAGCTCTTCTGATCAGTTTGAAATACGACTGGAAAGATTCGTAATAGCTTTCTGGAAGCAAGCCGTCGCTGGATAACCAGAACATCAACACAAATTCTGCGGAGCCTGTAGAGAATTGTAAAATTCAGGATAGGAGCTTAAATTTTGGAGTGATCACAAAAAAAGCGCATAAACTGAGATAAATTTAGCGACTACGGAGCAACGAGACTTCTTATCAATGCAATATTAAACGGAACCTAAGCATTCAGAAGCATGGATTAGATTGAAGTTCCGCTCTTTCTTCCATGAGATTTTGGTGACTAAATTTAAAGGCAAATAAATAATCAAAAAAAACAAGCCTTCCCGATGTTAACGTGTTTCCACTGTCCACCGGGCGTATCTCGACTCGAAGAGACTCTAACCATATTTGGCAAGCTGCCAGATATGTAATCTCAACTAAAATTCATTCATTTATATGCACAGTGAGCATTTCAGATATAAATCAGTGTTGTATAGAAAGAGCAACATCTAGGAACATGTCGTGGACAGCAGGTCTTGCACCATTTTTGAATTTTTCCTGGGTTTAGCTCCAGAATGTCTATTTGGTTTGAATATCTCGCCTTTTAGTGCCAAACCAATGTACTTCAAGAGTGACAATAATCGCTTATCTATGTTTTGCCTTTGAACTTGACGTCACTCTACACCTAAGTTGGAAAGAGGACTGTTTCACTATGACATCATCACTATGTGAAGCATTAAGTAGTCATTCAAAGATGCATTCCCTTAAAACATATTTCGTTCCAAATGGAATCTTTCTGATGTAAAAGCTGGTTCTAGGTAGATTATGGGCTACTGCTCTTGAAAGGTAAATCTTTCCCGTAGCTTTTCCGCTACAGATAAATCCTTTGTTGCTTTTACAATTTGTTGCCAAAAACGTAAAATTCAAATAGCCATTTCTACTGCACATTTTTTGGGGGTACACATTTCCTATTCCTTGAAAAGAAAATGCAATGTGCTTACTAACAATAAAACTTCTGGCCATAATTATAAACACACTCAAAAAGGTCTTATCTCATTTATCTAAAGAATCCTTTGAAATTCCTCGAAGGCGTGCTTGTCAATAGATTATCATATGTTATTAAGAGCGAATTTACGAAACATACGCAGCAAAAAAGGTAGTTAAAATGGAAAACAAAGTTGTTCCTGTTTCTTTTTGTATTCACTTCCTTTTTCACTCTCGATATTTGTAAAAGTGCAATTTCTAACTCTAAATTAATAGCAAGGTCAAGCTTGGAAAGAAACACATTTCTGCTTTTTTGCCCTTCCAGAAATGCCGCTTCGTCAGAAATTGGCTTTTAGTGGATTGTCTAATTTTTGCCAAATTTGAGTTCTTTGAATTTGATCGAGAGCAACGGTATGCATTTGAAACGAATGAACTCTGTGTAATAGCCGGCTCAGTATAGTTTGGGAGCGCTTTGAAGTTCATACTCAACCTACAAAATTTTTCAAATATGCGGGAATAGCGCGGCAACCTGAGTCCAAGGTTGGCGTTTGTTTAGAAAGTTACGTCTTTAAAAAGCTCTCATACGGGTTTAAATGGGATTAAGGCGGTGCTCAACGTTGCTTTGAAGGTAATTTACTATTCACTTTGGTCAAAATTGCCTTTTTTCCCGTGTTCTAATATTGTAAAAAGAATTACTAATTAGAGATGACTGCAGCTGGATCCAATCAATCTACGGTAGGAGTTATTGTTTAACAAACTTGAGATTTTCAAGCCTGTAGGCAAACGTAAGGCATGCTCACATAATTATCCTTTCATACAGTGTTTTCGCCTTAGTTCGAAATATAGGGGCATTCGAGCAACTAAGAGTGGAGTGTTTTTAACCTATGTGAACGGTAGTAGTTAAAACAAACATCTTTTATTGATCTCTTACCTTTCTCTGTGAGCAGAAGATTTCCT